CTGAACCCTTTCCCTATTGGTTATTAATGGTGTCATGCTGATGGAGTAATTCCTGAACTCTTTCCCTATTGGTTATTAATGGTGTCATGCTGATGGAGTAATTCCTGAACTCTTTCCCTATTGGTTATTAATGGTGTCATGCTGATGGAGTAATTCCTGAACTCTTTCCCTATTGGTTATTAATGGTGTCATGCTGATGGAGTAATTTATTTGAACCCGAGACCTCTCACAGGCTAGGCGAACCACTACAGCTCGCTAGTTAGTCACTGCTATATATTCAGATAAACCAAATTTTAATATACCATTTCATTTGTATACTATTTATATCCTAATGTATCTGATGAAGGTTTGTTTACACTAAGCCTATTACAGGACACCACCGATTTTCAGGCAACTCCTTTAATCCGGACAAAATTACGAGAGCCACTTGATATTCCCGCGACCGCCAGACTACTTCACTGGGCGGCCACAGATGGCATTGCGGGTGGTGCGCGCTACTTCGGGACGATCTGTTTGTTTTTGAATTTCGCGTAAAGCTACACGAGGGCTATCTGCGCTAGCCGACCCTAATTTAGCAGTGCAAGACTAGAGGGAAGGCAGCTAGTCATTACCACCCACTGCCAACTCTTTTACCAACGGATAGTGGGATTGACCGTCACATTATAACGCCCCCACGGCTGAAAGAGCGAGCACGTTTGAGGTGACGGGACGATCTACTTACATTTAAAGTAGGTTGGTCACTCGTGAACATTTTCTTATAAATATTAAACTAGTGGATCAAATTGCTTGAATATGTAGTTTAACAAAATCCAATTATTTAGTTTCGATTTTTTCTTCAATTTTTTACAACAAAGAATGTTGATAATAGTGTATGAAAATTCAAAATAGAACGTACTTAAAAATAACAATAATAATAACAGTAAAATTTGCCACTTTGGAAGCCATACAACTGCAGCATTCTTTGTAAGTCCAGTAATTAATAAACCTTTTTCATTCATATCTGTACTAATGTATTTCTTTAATCATTTAATATTTGTTTTATTTAAGTTTTTAGCAGCCCATGGTGCTTTAGTGATACAGAAGGGGTATAATTAGTAGGTCAGAGGTGTATTGTTGAATTATTATTATTACGTGACCTCTGTTGGTCCAGTGAGAATGCTGGAAAATTGGTGGTGTACCTGTACTTGAGAAGAATCATTAATATGTAGTTTACTTCTAGGAGTTACATTTGTTTTTTAAACTTTGGTAAAAATTATGTTTGATTTATATGAATAACATTTTATATCTAAGCTATTTTTTATATATGGGAAAAGGTCCTGTTCTTTTTTTTTTAAAGAATTATATTGCAGGGTTTTGGTATTGCAGTAATGACAGTAACGAGTGATATTTGTCAGGATGTATATCTGATCAATCTTAAAAAGTTCAAAGAAAAGTTTATTATTTGACACTTACGTCCTTGTGATTCAATGTTCTAATCACAGATTCTCACCTCTTCACTTTATATTACCGAGGAAAGCCTTCTATGAACTCTTTCTCACACACACACACACATACAAGAAAGTGAAGGAACATTTAATTATAAAGCATTTCAATTCTCTATCAACAAACACCCATTTATAAAACAAGAACAACAAACAAGAACTGTTTTAAATAGTTTTATTGCATATAAAGAGTAAAACAGTGAATTGTTAAATAACAGAATCACTGTTTATATTACATCCTTCTAAACAACTAACTTGTCAAGGCAACTTCCACCAGCATGATTGCATATCAATGGGACAGAAACATCTATATAAAAAAATAGCAATGATGACTAAAAAAGGAAACAAAAATAAAAGAACTTTATAGGAACTTAACATCACAGTTTCCACAAGTAATTGAGTTCATGGGAATCAACTGAAAGTAGGCAGTTTTATATCAATCTAACAAGACAACCTTGAAGAAGCACTAGAAGAGCAATCAATGGACAGAAACGTCCATTCATCTACGATAATATCCTGTTGGCCGTCAGGGATTTCCTTATTGTTCTTATGCCTTGCTGTGAACATATTTAATCAGATCAGCTACTCTGCAGCTGTAGCCATACTCATTGTCGTACCTAAAATATTCATATACGATACTTTACAAGATATCTAAAAATAATCACAGAATTTAAAATGTTAACAAACTTTATCGACTATTTAAAAATAAGTGAAAAATTCCAGAAGTCATGTTAAACTACACAAAAAGAGAAAAATAATCCAGACTTTAACGTTCCTGTTACCAAAAGTTTTTAATCAGTGGTAACAAAAAAACTGCGTATTGAAATTAACCTTTAAATTATGAACTTGTTTTGATATTGATCGTTAATGGTGTAGTTTATATATCGTATCACGTTGAGTAATATTATGTTTTTGCAACACTTATTATAAAGAATTGACCAAAGCAATTAGGTGAAATCACTTACTTTCTAAAGTACAGCAGAAATCTCTGCAGTATCTATGGGATTAACAGGAATATTGATGATATTTTTGTTTAATTGTTTGCGTGCGACTCGTACATTATTAGGGTAACCAATAAAGTCATGGACCCACAAGCAATTTAGCACATAAACAATGCCAAAAGGGTTGATATGACACCATAAGTAAAGAAAACTTAAACTAACACAGATCTCACGGTAAACCTGTAGCATTAAGTTAAAATGTCTATATACTTGTTCTATATTTGATATTTCCCATTATAGCACAGCATTTAATTGCAAACAAACTTGAAACATTTACCAAAATTCAGGCTAAAATACTTCTGAAGTAGCTGCCTAATAAAATTCAACCTACCATGAAACAAGTTTCACGAAGTTCTTGTTTAAAGAAATGCCAGCGCTTGCGTCAAAGATGCTGCTGTGAGAATCCCCAATAAAGTCTGATGAAACCACCTAAACAGACGTGAGAAAAAAAAAGCACCATATTTTTTTTTTATTGCTCATCTTTAATATATAGGAAACTATTTTAATTCTTGAATTCTAATACAGATTTTATATTTCAATACTAAGTTTATTAAAATCTTCAAAAATTATGATCGTTTTTTTTTCCATACAGTACCACTGGAAATTGTTTTTTTCCTGTTTGTTGAGGAAAAAAAAACAACACTAGTCTAAAATCTTGTTTAACATACAATAAATATATTTTAAAAATACACATGATGAAGCTGTTACCAATTGATAAATTTAATTTAATTACAATTCAAGATAGGGTATAAAATATAAATAGTAACTTATCCTTACAGCATCTTCTGTGTATCCCAAGATTCCCTTCCAATTGTCGCTTTCAGAAGCAGACTTAACAGCATTTTTGATATCGTCATAAGAAGCTCCCTTTTCCAAGCGACAAGTCAGGTCTACAACAGAAACGTCGGCAACAGGTACACGGAAAGCCATACCAGTTAATTTGCTATAAACCAAAATGTTTTTTTAGGAAACCAAAGTTAATGGGTACTTATCTCTACATGTTTAAAAAACTACAAATCCCCAAATTATTACAATAACAAGATATATTATAACAGAAAATATTTAGGTTAAATATCAAATGTTTTCTTAGTTTAATGTGTGTGTAAAACAAAAGAACAGGTACACAAGTGTAATTTTACCTCAAAGTAGAAACTGAATCATGGGTCAGTGAAATAAGAAAAAAAAAAAGTGGCAGTTAAGAGCACATAGAGGATTACTAACAAATCCTGTAAACAAAGTAAAAAATTTCAAATGCATTTTTAACTTTACAACAAGTCACAGAAAATTTAGATAAATTTTGCATCTATTCTGACCAAACTTTTTTAAACCTGGTGATTGACCTGCTGAAATATACAAGACTACAACAGTTTCAATATTTGCCACAAATAATTCAAAAGCATACCCATTTAATTCTGGAATGACTTTGCCAACAGCCTTAGCAGCACCCGTTGAAGCAGGAATGATGTTCTGACTGGCACCTCGACCATCTCGCCATGCCTGGATATTTATTAAAAACCAACACAATCTTTGATAGTGGAGAATTCAGTCTGACTATTCTAACAAAACCAATTCCTTTAATAAGAAAATCTAAAACTGGCCCGTATTATTTATGCGTTATCCTTTAATACAACTTCAGGTTGGATAGTCCATAAATCTGATTTATTTACACTGAACTCTACATGTTTTGTGATGTATAATGTTCACATAAAAGATATGTGGTTAAGCATTAATAGTAGACACAGTTTTATCTGAAGCCTAAAGGAAAGTTATTGTCCAGAAGCAATTTACTTGTAAGTGGGTAGAATAAGACCTATTCCAAGTGGGAATGAATTAGAGGCTTTTACAGGTTTTTTTTTTACATAACAATATTTGTTTTGTGAATTGCACCACCTGACTGTGACTCATGATAAAGTCAATTATTAAATAACATAATTAATTTTTATTCAAATACCTCAGTACACGAAGTAGATTTTTCCTAAATATTTTGAAAAACAAATTTAATTCTTCTCTACTCTACTGTAAAAAAGAAGACTCGTTAAACTTTGATAAAAATAATGACTATAGTTTTCTATGACAGTTTTTTTCTTATCGAAATAAAATGCTGTTTCATAATTTTGAAACTCAACTTTGCCCTATAATACATAAAATTTAAAAACAAATAAATAAGGAATTTTAGTTAAACCTTATTTAACTCGTATCACATCAAGGTAATATCAGAGATGTGGAATGGCTTACCTTAGAACTTGGACCATCAACAGTCTTCTGGGTTGCTGTTACGGCATGAACTGTAGTCTGCGTAGTTGAAGTTTAAAACAGTTTAACTATACACAAGCTAAGAACACTTTATAAAGAATTGGTACTTAATTACAATTAATGTGATGGTATGTCACATTTTATCCAAATACCTTATATTTCAAGTTATTAGTGATAAGTACATGACTATACATCAAAACCAAATAAACTGCTTTCATTCCATGACTATAGGAGGCCTTTTATTTATTTTCTTCATTCTTCCGAGCAGCACCGATGAGCTGGGAGCTCAGCGAAACTAATCTCTTGCAGTGGAAGTAGCAAGTGAACATTAGACCTCTAGATCAAATTAGGCATCTAGATAATCTTTTCGTTCTTGAAATTCATACTCTGGTGAAGAAACTAGTCAGCCCACTGAATAAAAGTGGATAATTAATTGTGACAGTACATCACATTATCCAAATGCCTTAAGTATTTTAGGTTATAACTTGCGAGTAAAGGACTACACACCAAAACAACATCCTCCTTTATGTAGTCTGTATGGTTGATTTCTTTATAGTTTACATATAAATACAGAAAAACACACTACACAATCTAAGTCTTAAATTTAAAAAAATTCAGAACCCCCCCTCCTTTCCACAGCAACTCAAATCTACATCTAGCCAAGTCCTGCTGGTGCAAACCCACTATCTAACTTTCTGGAAACGTATACTTCACAAATTCTCTTTTGTTTACAACGAAACATAGCAGCTAAAAATGGCAACTGGTTGAGATGTTATCCTTAGATGTATAATACAATCTTACTCATGCTTTTAAATGTAGCTAAGAAAATGTCCATAAACTGTAGGATGTCTAAAATATATATATATAATCCTTGCCAATTTTACCTTAAAATTCTTAAGTGTGGGGAAAAAAGTCTATCCCCTATTATCTCACTGGTTTTTAATTATTCAACAAATACTTTGTTATCAAGTTTCTGTAATGTAACATCATGAATTAACAAAACTACAGACGCATACCATAAGTCCTTCAACAATGCCAAAGTTGTCATGAATGACTTTGGCAATGGGTGCTAGACAGTTGGTTGTGCAAGAAGCATTACTGATGATCTCCATTGATGGGTCATATGTTTTATGGTTTACACCCATAACAAACATAGGTGCATCGGCCGAGGGTGCGGTGATAATAACTCTTTTTGCTCCACTCTCAAGGTGTGGTTTTGCCTTTTCTATTGTGGTGAAAACACCAGTTGATTCAACGATGTAATCGGCACCAGCTTTACCCCACGGAATAGCATTAGGTTTCATCCTGAAGCAAGAGAAAGCAAAGTAGATGAACAGTCTTTTTTCCTTATAAGTGCAACTCCAGAAGGTATTATAAAATAACAAATACAAAATTGGCCAACAGAATAATAAATCTTACTGCGTGTTAACCTTTACACCAACAAGTATTAAACAACACTTTGAAAACTAAAACATTTTCTCCAGAAGGAAATTGTAATTAATATGTCCGTCCTTATCGAACTTTACAAATTACATAGAAACAATCTGCATTAAAATGCACAGGGGTTGTTCTTACAATTTCAGTTCTTTGTCAGCTCTATATGCTGAAAAATCAGAAATGGTTTAGTCCTAACGTTTCTTAGAATATCCTTTAATGTTCAGTATTATAAACTTAGAAAGTACAATTAACCTTTAATTTATAAATTTCATGAACTCAACAGTACTTAAGACCACTCCAACAGCCTTATACAGTCCAACAGAATGTTAAACTTGGACAAAAGTACTGGAATAGCTAAATACAAAATAAAGTTTAATTCAGTGCACATATAAATTTAAAAGGTACATTTGAGTTCAAAACGATTTAGGATTTAGTGTTCTTATTATACGTTGGTTAAGGTACTCAATAATAATAATAATAGTCTGAAAAACATAATATGAAATTAATTTCACTAGAATATTAATTAACTCATCTGCAGCTTCAAGTAAGTCTATATTATAGCCTTACTTACTCTTGAAAAACACGTATTTTATGTCCATCAATAATCAGTATACCTCCATCTGCTTTGATTTCTCCTTTGAAACGACCATGTGTTGAGTCGTACTTGAACATGTAAACCTGTAAAAGTATTTATTCTCATTTTAGCTTAAAGTAATTATAACTTTCATTCCACTGCTTGTCTAATAATCTAATCAGAGTTCAAAGAAATGAGAACAACTCAGTTAAAAGCCTTCACTCCTCACCACTGTGTTTTAGTTTTAAAACTTAAGACTTTCACCAACATTCCTTAAAACCCCTTTTTTTTGGTAAGATCTATTTATTTTTTCAGCAAACATTTATAAGATATTTTGGATGTCTATAAAGTATACTAAATATGATAGAAGTTCAATTTCAAGCATTTTTAAATATAAATTCAGTGACTTTGCCTACAGATTGTTTTCCTCGACTTTTTCAAACATTTGTACAATAAAGGTTAATGGAGAGTAATGTTTATAATAAGTACTGGGTTTAATCATAATCAAACAGTAATACAATGGTTACTAGAACACTTAAAATAAATATAGCATTTTTCATTAATTAATATTTCAAAAACACACAAAATTACAATACAGATTTTACATCCCACAAAGCCCCGACTGTTCACAAAATTAATTAACACACTTTTACTACTCTCATTTTCTAGTTATCGTAATGCATCCCTCCTTCTTACAAGATGGATAGTTCTTTATGAAATCTCACCATGTAGTTGACATCAATGAAAGGATCATTTATGGCTACAACTTCAACTCCCTTGTCCAAACAAGAACGAAGAACCAGACGACCAATACGTCCAAATCTATAGGAGGCCATGGAGGAAATAAAGCAGTATAAGATTCACAGGTAAACAGTCGAGAGAACTTATTGCAATTATCAGTTTGTAATGAACAACTATTTATTCATTTTAAAAATACATATATGCTAGCCAAAAATTTCGGAGATAGCTCTCAACATTCGAAGATTCATCAGGCAGCGTTAAGGCAATGTCAGATTTTTTTTTCTCTCTTGTTAACAAACTGTTCGATAATGTCTGAATCAGACATTAAATGTCACTCTCACAGAAAATTCAATCCTTTGATTTGTATGATGTTAATTACTTACACAATAGTTGTGGTATTTAAAATAAATAAAAAAATCAAAGCATTATATTTATTTGTAGCAGATTTTTTTTTTTTTTTATCTGGAGTAGACCATTATGGTGAAGCACATGGGGTAGGGTTAGTGGTTGCATGTCTTCTGTAAAACATACTGACTACTTTCTGTACAAGATGTGAGATGAATGATATGGTAAACATAAATATAACAATTTTAGTATTGAAAAAAAGGTGCAGTGGTACAACTCTCTCCTTACATGTTTAATTAATCATTAATGTTGTTAGAGAAACCAACTGATAACACTTTCTCTTGTAACTTTTTGTTACAGTTAAAGGTCCAGATTTACTTTCTAATCAAACTGTTATCTGTTCTGCTTTTTTATATTATTATTATTGTTTAATTAGTCAACAATTTTATGTTAAAAATACTACGACTGTTAACCACTAATATTATATCACGAATCAACAAAAATTTTACATTTCTTCAAGAGATACAAGAAGTTGAATGATTTAGTGGGAGCCTAACAAGGATTTCCATATGTTCTCATGGACATCATTATTTTGTATGTACAGAGATTTAAAATAAATAAATATATTCACAATATAATTACTTAAATAATTTAAAGATGTATATATATAACAATTTGAGATATAAGTTTAAGATCCTTCTTGTACTTCAAATCTAATTTCAATGTTGTAATTTAATTTCTTGCTAGATGGAGCTGCTAATCATGATGGTAATGATATACCTAAAACTTTTGTAATCGTTAAAAATTTAGAAGTTTTGTCTAATAATAAGACATAAGGATAGACCATTTATGAATAGAAGTAATCAGAGAGAAATTAATGACATATTAATGAGCAGTGACATATTCAATGAAAGTTTCAGTTCTTTTCTACTGTTGAGTTACTCCATGTGCTATATTTTTATTAATCAAAGCTAAGAAAGTTAAGCACGGGTTCCAGTGAGGGATTCTTGTTGAACCATTGTTTGTGAACTTAGGCCTACATCTGTGTCAAAGTGAACATTGCCTGTAGCAAACATTATAGTAGAAATAAATCAATTCATTGTCACTAAGTGGACTGTACATAATTTTTACCAAATAATTTAAAAGAATCCACTGAATAATAGAAAAAGAGTAAAACATGTATGTGTGTGTGTCCATGTATATATAGATACACACACTATATACGTTTTTATGCAAACTAAGGTAAAATCTTTACTTCTCTTTGTACAGATAAACATTTTATCTTACCCATTGATTCCAACTTTAGCCATTGTATTTTAACTGGTAAGCTCTAGAAAGTTTAGTCCCTGAAAAAAAAAAAAAAGAAAAGAAAAAAGATTAATAGTAAAATTTTAATAATTAATGACTAACACTCACAATGAACATTAAAACTCAAAACTATTTGATACATTAATATTAAGATTTGATACTCAAAATACGGTAATAAAAAAAAACAAGATTTTATTTATGTTTGTACACTATCATTGAACATTATAATATTGCTACAGAACAAAAACTATTATACAGTGTATATAATTTCTGATAAACTCTTACTGGTCATGTCTATCATATTCCAAAACCTTCTCAGAGAGGTTTATGAAGAACCAATAGAACAAAACCCTGTGGTTAGTTACATACAGCAGTGGTTGTTCATTCAACCTTTTCATTGAAAAACCAGTTGAGCAAGAACACTCTTATGAGTCAGCCAGTTACCACATCTAGACATGATTGCAATTATTTGTCATGCAATAGTACGTGTCCTTTACTACAAAGAAACAGGAAATTCCTGTAGATAAAAAAAACAAAACATATCTTATGTACATGCTTTAGGCTACAGTCTACTACCACTATGCACTCAGCTCCTTTCTCTCAGACTTGTCAATCTATTCCACTAATAAAACATCACTAGGATGGTAATTCATTTCATCTTTTAAAAATCCCTCACCTGTTTTCACAGAGGTTTTGTACTGAAGATACTTTTTCATAAGAATACATTCCTTCAACATACACAGACATTTTGATGATCAGATGGAAGCTTAGTAAGGACTTCCAAACATACCCATCAACATCACCAGATTGTATGTATTGAGAATTAAAAAAAGAAACATAAATACAAAAAATCACCCAAACAATTTAAATGGTTGATTGTTCTTCTTCTGGAGTATAAGGGTCCTCAGATAAACTTGTAAAGACAAAACAGAGCAATTTTAGATGAAAAATATGAAATGTGCCCTTACATGAAATTTATACTAAATATGTCCAATACTACATTTAGCTTGAGATATTGATCTGATGGTTATTCTGAGAGTGACTGGGTAATCTTATCAATCTTCAGTTACCATGTTTTATACTCATGTTCTTAAAACTTTTTGAACTATGTTATGACTTTGAAAAGTCTTAAAAACAAGAGCAAAGACTGCAAACAAATTTACATTAAGCAGTTCTTCTTTCTAATTTTGTTCCATCCTTTTTTTTTTCACATAATACATTGAGACACAAAAATTGTTTATTCTTCAAAATCTAACTGATGAGCTTGTTATTACTACATGTATTACTATTAGACAAAGGGCCTGGTTGACATATTGTTATATATTTACCTTTACCTTTTCTCACAAAATCTTAGAATTACTAGAAAATAAGTACCAAGCTGATTGCATTACCTAACTTAAAATATAAACAGTACCGACTGACTAAACGAAAGTTGTCACCGAAAAAAAAAATCGTATTTGAATACAGTAATTAAAACGTCAAATACCACTTGGCAGTAATAATACAAACACATAGATAAACCAACATAATTATTAAAATTCTATCTTCAAGTTACTTTATATAGTAAGCAAATATGTGCACAATATCATGCGTGGCAGTAAACTGTAGGAAACATTTTATTTTTAGCAATTGTTACCGCTGTAGTAAACCGGATTATTCTTGCAATGGGCTAACTACATTATACTATAGTACATATGATATATAACTGAGTCAACCTATTGTTATATCACTGTACCGTTATCTAAATTTATGATAATCCATTATGGTTCTAAGTTTATAAATGATTACACTACAAAAATTAAATGTTCCACTGTAAGTTTGATGGTGTTAGTAACTTATTAATAATTATTTTTACTAAACTGAGATATAACTCACATACTCACCTCTTATCAAAATCACGCAAGATAACGAAACCCCCGCGCAAACAAGTTTATATACAAAATGAATTTACAAGGGTTTCTGCACATCAGGGCGCACAACATGGTTTTAACATTGACGTTGAACCCACAGCATATAGAGGTACGGTCAAATACATCTACAGTAAATTGTTGGGTTGAGCAGTGTTGCCAAGTCCAAGCGGAATTGGGCTTGTTTTATTCTGAGATATTTTATTTTTTGTAGTAGTAGTAGCTGACTTGAGCACATAATAAAATGGAGTGTAGGAGTGGTTTCTGTGATTGATTGGGTTAATGAATAGCCTACTACTCATCGTCACAATTTTAAAATCATCCTATACCCACTCCTGTTCAATTAAAAACCACTTGGTACATTATATATATTCTGATTAAGTCGCACAAATCGTCATTTTAAGGGTAAGCCATAAATGAGCAGATTTGAAAGTTAGTACCGTTTGTTTTGGCTGATTTCGAAAGGTAGTGCCGCATATTTTTCTCGCGAGACTTTGCAACACTGGGGTCGAGATTAGAGAAGGAAAAATGGCTCTTTCCATCTCCGAAGCAACCAGCACACATTTATATATGTATTATATATATTATATATTTAATCTTTTTCGGAGGAATGACAGGTTGTGATTGTGTTCAGAATATTATTAGTTAAAATTATATAATCAACTTAAATTGAAATGAGGTTCAATATATCAATATCAAACTAGAAATATAGTTAAAAATATTAGGATGGTTGGAGTAACGTGTTATCGGCGTAGTAAGAAAAATAAACGATCCAAAGCATTTCAAGTGTGTCATTATCAGGTTCAAAATTCAAGATGAGTTAGCTGGCCCATGTAGTTCTTTCAGTTTTACACACAGTATAGCAAATAATTTGTTTGCTGAGAAACACAAAGCTACACAATAGGCCATCTGTGCTGTGCACAACATGTATCGAAAACCGACATTTAGCCACCGAGCCACTTTGGGGTATAGTAAATTATGAACCTACTTTTAAATTTTTATTGTGAACGTAATTTGTTATTAGATTTATTCGTGCATTTTATTAAAGTAGTAGTTTTTGTTTGTAAGCATATTTATAGTACATATATCGTTCCATGTTTTTTTTCCTGTAGATTTGAGCAGTGTCGTTAAGCATGCGCAATCGGAAGTGCACTACTTTCAAAAAGGAATAGCAGACGTTCAAAATAATCCCAGGCCTATAAGACCTAAACATCGATTAAGAGAACAGCAACAGCAGGAACAATACCTGACAGTCATTTTCTGATAAATTGATGTGCTAATGTTTGCAAGAAATATACCACGGAATGCCGAAGACCGCCATTTTACTGACGTAATAAAATCAGTATGTACCAATAGATGGTGCATTCATAATTGAAATTCTTCATACTCACCATCATTGACAGTTAACCGAAAATGTGTGCTAACCTTTGACCAATGACGTAACGTCACGTGATAGTAAATCAACGAATAACAAAATGCTCCGATTATAGTTTACAGTGGCATTACTTTAGAAGGCGATATAATTTTATATGAACTCTGAATTATTTATAACCATTCCCGTACCTTAAGCTAGACCCGCCTGCCGAACATTCGTCATCAAACTCGCTTAACGCCTTACTAATTGACACTTCCACCGACTCTCCTCCTCCGCCGATCGACTGAACAGACGTGCCGCCCTGTCAGTCCTCCTTCTTCCGTCGCCCCTCCACCAGTGACGACGAAGATCCAACCCTGAATAGACCCCTCCCCAGCCATAGTTCCTTCCTAAGAGCAGTCCGCCACCTGAGAAACTCCATGCCATATTAATTAACCCACAGCTACGCTTATCACTCTTGCTTCCCCACCATCATACCAAGTGTCTTTTTAGTATTTTCATGTTAATAAGGCACTGGTAAAGGATTGGCGCCTTATCAGTGAAAAGGGGTATTCTCGGGGCTCTTCCGTTTCACCTCACATCAAATTATTATGGCATTGGATTTATAGATCTCCGCCGCCCTGAAGGACCATAAGTTCGTCCGTTTGTTTGAGTTTTGAGCTTTGACTTTAGTCCTGTAAACCAAACATCCATTTCAGTCACTTAAGCTATAGATTATATAACAAAGATCCTGCCTCTACCTTAACCTCGATGGGACAAAAGGGAACAACTGTTTCGGAACACCTCCGGTTGTCTTCGTGAAGGCTTCAAACAGAAATACATACCAGTATTTCGTTCGTTCTACCTGTCAGTCAAACTATTAAACATCTGGGGTGCTCGAAGATATTTCATCTTCCTTCGCCACGCACTAGTTAAGGTGATTACTTGAAAGGATCGTAGACATTACACATCTTTAATTAGAGTAGGTGTTAATAGTTCGACCATAAAATGCCAAACATCAAACTATTTTCAGGATTTGATTTATGGATCTACCTGCTAGTGCCAGTGCTCCGAATGGCCTAGCCTCAACCTGAGATTAATTTAATGCAAATTTATGACATACTTGTGATCAGAAAATCCTAATAATCAGGCTACGATTTTATATTTTGTTGCAGTGCATCCTATATTTGAAAAGAATATTTAAGTGTGTATATAGGCGTATATAAAAACTATTGTTGCAACCAGAAGCGTTGAGAGCTAGCATGGGCCCCCCTTTCTCTCTCTTTTTTTATGCATTTTAAAGAACTTATATAAAAAAAGATCCTAAATTAGGACAGCAATGAGCTAATAAAAAAGGCAATACCATAGCAGCAGCCGTTTTTACCTCACAGTATAAGCGTAAAAACGTGCTTTACAGCATAACTATGATTCATTCGCCCGGGCCCATTCTAACTTCTATCACTTCCGAGTTCAGTTTACTGTACTAGTTTATCTGTTTTATAAAGTTTCTACTCTTCTATTTTTGGATCATTTGTTACTAGGCCTATAAATGCTGTATATACGAGGTTCAATAAGGCGTCATGTATTAAAAATGAAGTTAAAATACAATTGTTTCAGTTGAAAAAATTCCTTAGGAAAAGCTCTGCTTACAAAACTTCAATTATTTTACAGTTCTCAACCGTATGTATCTGTACTTTATTTTTTGGAGTACCATGAGAGCTATTTGGATTTTATAAATTTTCATATTGGGGTTCTCAAATGGAAGATCAAGGGATTATTTGGGTCTGTAAGGATTTGGCTGCCCAGATTCTTTTGAATTGATATGAGTATGTAAATAATCTTGTTACAAAAAAAAACTTAAGTTTTGAAAATTTTTCAATGTCAAGACTTTCTTTGGTTTAGGCTCTCAGATTTACTCAGCAATTAACAAAAATGGTCTTCCAAAATAAAGTGTACAAAATGTTTTGCTTAGTTGTCTACTATCAATTGTCATGGGCAATTTAATAGCTAAATTAATATTATATTTTGGTATGTAGAAGAGTTATGATAAAACTGCATTCTGTTTTTTTTTTAGGTGCCTCTTTCCAACCATTACACTTGTATAGAAGTTTTATAAACAAACAAAGCTATAAATTATGTATGTATATCAAGTCTTTGATTTATTTTTAATCACACTAATATATTTGTGGATTGAAAAAATGGAAACCATTTTGTTTGTTTAACCTCTCAACTTCACCAAAAACCATGTACAACTGAGTGGTATGTTGTCAAACAATAATTGCTTCTTATGTTTATGGTCAGCCAATCAAACTTCTCACATGAATTATGATGTTTTATCAGATAACAAGGCATATAACTTGTGATATACATAATTGCCTGTTTTATATGAGACATCTTTTTATATGAATTGGTTGATCAAAATGTGCATCAGTCTGACTGATCAGAATTGGACATAGTCAGAACTGTGTTCCCATTGTGCAAACCTTTCTTTATTTAACATATTGTTACGTCTCCGTTTGTTAATTG